TTTTTCTAAGGTACATAAACTTTTGGGATTGACTGTATAGCCAATACATCCTTAAATTATTACTCTGAAATTTGTGCGAAAGACAGACGCATTGCGAAGCATTTACATCTATTATTAAAATATGCGTACGTCGAACGGTTCGTAAAAATAACTATGGATCGGTAAACGCACGAATGTGGAATATTTCCAATGGAGTTTCTCGAATTAAAATAGCAGTTCGATAAATGTTTGTATAATAGCGAATCATGATATTCGAATAAGGAAACCAATTAATTCTGAAATTGATTCCATTGTAAACGATACCTGCAGTCTGTTATATAAAATACTGCAAAAATACATTTATTTCGAATAGAAGTATTCAGTATTCGCATGCGTCAGGATGTAAAAACGCGTTTTCGTTGTTTCCGCCGTGTGAAAACATCCGAACAATGAAATAAAAACGTTTTCAGCGATACTCCACCCGGATATCGCGATATTCATTCGCGAATGATTTCGGGTTATTTAAAAAAAGAAGAAAAAAATGATTTCCATGCTGCCGCTGCATTTTAGCAAATTTCCATCCAAATACTTCTCATACTGATAATACCGTTCGAGTGCGGCTCATTTTGTGAATACGATATTTCGGCACTGTCAGAATTTCAAAATCAACCACTCTCCCGTTTCTCTCGCACGCGCGCGCGTTCCATTAAATTTCTGAATTAACTTTTTCTACTGCTGCTGTCCGCCGGCATTTTATATTTTAATCGCATCACTATTTCTAACGTAGTTTTAACGTTTCCCAGGTTGAACATTTGCTAAAATCGTAACAATGTTCGTTACGTTTGACAAAATGTTTGATGTATAATAATAAGAAGAATCAAATTTTTTAGATATAATTCGGAGAGACTCGCTCGGTTAGTTTCATTCGTGGAAATTTGCAATGAAAGAATCGAAAGCACGATTGACGAATTTCAAATCCGTTCGGACGTAAATTCAGATTTCGTGGGAAGATAGAAGGGGAGGATAATGAATAAATCTCTCTCGAGGAGGGAAATATAATAGCGTGGTTATACATCTATAGAGGCTTCCGGTCTCGTTCACACTTCTATCCTTCCACCGATGAAAATAATTGCTTGTACACGCAACGGCTGTCCTCTTCATCACCCGTACGTACGTACACCTGCCCCATTGTCCATCAGACGTTTTCAGAGAATTGTTGGCTTTATAACGTCACGTCATTTACCGTTCGAGACATCTTGGCGGGCTTGGCCGAAGTTGTTGTCTGGTTAACACGACCCGTCCGGAACATTGTGTCCGTCATTGCACCCTCGTCCGAAGTTTCAACGCTCTACCGTCCATTCGTTTTTTATATCACTTAGTACTTCGACTCACGGCCACTCAAAGATGATAGAACAATTTTGAACCGCAAGTCTACATGGATAATTATTGAAAATATATTTTAATTTCATCGGTTCGGTCGTAATTACGTAGGGCTTTTGGTCCGGAATAAAAGACACGTTCGGCTGAGGGGAGGTGTGAATAGAGGATCGAAAAGGGGCCACTGGCAGCTCGTTAAGGTGGCTGAAAATTCCAGAGCAATCTGAAAACGTCGAGGCCCGGGTAAACTGCATAGCTGTACACCGCGGGGTACCGTGGACATGAAAAGAGGCCGTGACAAGGGGTTGCGATGGAGCGACAACGGAAAAAAGTGGGTGGGAGCGAGATAGGTAGGACAAAGCTGGAAAACATATTTCGCGCCGGCTGATGCATTATCCGTGAGATGTCTGCAACAGATAGTGTCGTGGGAAAACGTCGATAGCCCTTTCCGCGAATGAAGTCTATTCCCCGGGCTTTCTCTTCCGTTTCCCACCGCCTACCGCGACGTCTCTCGCTCTTACCCTCCCCTTTCCTTCCGCACTCCCCGCGGCGAGACAACCCGCGACGACGCGACGCGAAAGCAGTTTCGCGGACGATTTTCGCGTGTTTGATACCTCCTTTCGCTCGCTACTTTTCCTCCTCCTTTCTTCCTCTATCTCATTTTTTTTTT